GACGTTGTTCATTTACATATGTACCTATACGTTAGTTTGATGTCATTTGTTCATTACTATTACTAATTCATCCCCCGCAACAGTCATTATCAATCGAATTCCGGGATAAAAGAAAATTCCCATAAAACAATGTTAGCAAGTTAATGCGTCGTATGTTTCTATAAATCTAGGAAACAATTACTTTGACAACTTTTCTCAAGTGAATGGAAGGATATGCCAAACTTTACCAACATTGAACGCAGAGAGAACATAACGAAAATAATATTAAAAGCCACACACAAAGTACCATAAAACCAACCGGATAGTAATGTAACGTGACAAAGTTTTGGCACATAATCTACCGAGAAATGTACATGAATAAGAATATATATATTTGACTATTTTAGTCGAAATGTATCGTACAAGAACTGTCCAGACCTATCAGCCTAAATCTTTTGAGCTGTTCTCAAAAATACTGGAGTTGGCATATATATTTCCTAATGTTTCTAGATTTACCTTTCCATACTTGCCGCACAACTTTCAGATGGGAGTTTTTAACGGCTATATCCTGCGATATATATTGGGATAGGACTCTTTTAGCATATACAATTAATTAACTTTGTTCTCAAAATATCCGTCAAGGTAACAATCACTGACGATTTTTTTCGACAGTTTTTTGAAAATTGCTTATATTCTTAGTCATGCTTCAATCCTTTATGCTATGAGAAATGTTGCACATTGAGGTGATGTAGGAACTGCATAATACAGCATATCTTTTTGCTGTTTGTTACTTTTAATAAATACATTTCCCGGATATTACCCTCATAACTGCGTTCTAAAACATGTGATCCCCTTTCGGGTTCGGGGTAAAATTACGCCTACTGGTTCCCACTACCTATTGTAAAAGGCGACTTGTGTGATGCCCCTTGTGGTTTTCTATTGAGGAAGAAGGCAAAAACACAAATCATACCGCCTCATCATGCGTTGCACACACGGAGACCTGTCTTAAAATGACCTTAACTTTAAAGATAAACCAAAGCAAACACATATAAATTTATCATGATATACATCGAGAGTAGAAATATATACACCTGACTGAAATACAATGCCGAAGGCACCCACCACACTATTCCATCCGCTTGCTTTATCATTGTATGGAAATGCCGATTAAAACTTGCAATGCTACATGCTCAAACAATTCTGAAATATGCATTAATAGGTAACATTTTTGCAATAATTAATGCAATCTTGTCTACAAGAATGCTTAAATGCGAGTATCCATTTTTGTTATATATATTAATGGGATGCCAAAGTGTTGACTGTGAATGACATTTCCAGTAACGACTACGAATAGTTAGTCTTGAACTAATGACATTCGATCATGATAGAAATCGACCAAAACGGCGCATTACTCGGAATTATTTGATTGGAGATTTAGCAAGTGTTACTTACGTATTTCGGATAAGGTCTCGTAAAGCGCCCACGCGGATGTCTGATTTTTGTATATTATGTTGACACTCAATTGAAATCCAATTCCAGATTAGATTTGAACGATTACACTAAGCATGGAATGATTCAAAAGTTGAACTCATTCCAAAACTCCAGACAGAAAATGTATACGATATTACCGGTTGGTTGATTGTCTACCTTACCAGGCAAGTAGTAGTTATGAGACTGTAGCTGTCTGCTGAGGAGATGCATGCAACACTTAAACGTAAAAGGGTTCTTCTCAAAACCTAACATGATATGAATTAATGACAAGGAGTCTTTAGCGTGAAAGGATAAGTTGTTATTGCACGAATAAGTATTGTTAAAAGTTATTGGAATGAATAAAAAAAATATAGAAACCAATATAACCTGGCCCGATAGCCGAGTGAGTCGGTGCCGTGGCGCAGCGTCAATCGTCCATTTAGGTTTATTTTAAACACTACTAGTCCTTAACGGCGGAGTGATTTTGGGCAATGTGACTCAAGTTTAAGAGTGTGATGCCCCCAGGATTTGAGCATCATTTTGGATAGGGGACTAGAATTTTGTATAAACAAAGTGTGTGGTTCACCTGGGGGCAGACGGGCGGTGCACAAGAAGGGAAATATATTTAAAACTTTTTAAGAATCTTTCTTCTTCAATAAAAATTGTGGGACTTTAATCAAATTCGGTCTGGAGCATCATCGGAAAATGCGGACTCATTTTTTTGTATAAACGGAGGATTTGACTCTCAAGGGGCCAGGGGCCGACAGAGGAAACAGGTAAATAAAAAAAAGGATTTGGAAGTGTCAACAAAACCACAATTCGAACTCACAATCACTTGAACTGTTTCTCCTTCCATGCAAATAGAGAGATTTACCGAATGAATCAAATTATATATCGAAAATAAAATACCAGGTGAGCCCTTAAGGCCCCTGAGCATCTTGTTTACATTCGTTGTAATGCTTCACATAGTATATTATATGACTATCATTGTACACACGCGCTATTTATCTGTAAAGTGTATGAAGCTTGATCAATGTCGCTAAAATTGTATTATACTGAAGGTATCTGCAGCTATATAATGGATCTAGTCTAATGCTATAGTTTATGCTCTTGTTTTTGTATTAAATTAAATCGCAAGACCTAGTTATTCGTTGTCAGTATAATGTGATCAGGTGCAATACGGAGCTGAGTGCATGCGGTAAGGAACAGTGTATTTCAGTGGGATAACATTTTAAGCCGGCATAAGCTCTGTGCTATCGCAAGAAGGCAAATAAACAAATCACACCGCTACTCATGCATTACACACGCGGCGGCATGTCTTTAAATAACCTTAGCAGTTAAAGTAAACCAAAGCAAATTCATGTTCAACATTGTATACATGGACAGTAGACTATTGTGGTATTGCTGCATCCTGTTACATTAAATTGTCCAATTTATAAGCCATACCAAAAATAATTTCTTCAACTTAGTCTTTTTTTGTGATAACAGGTATGAAACTCAACATTTTATGCTGAATAGTTGCAACATTTTGGATCATTATCTTTTCTGTATTCATTTTCATACTGGGAAGGTTCAGAGACGGATCCATGTGTCATGTTTCCTCATTTAAGTTGACATAAAATAATTTGGTCTTTTTTTATTGGGTTAAGCGTTCTAATATCAGGTGATGTCTTTTATGGACGTGTCACCATGTGTATCATGCTTGTATTTTGCTTGCATAGGTGTGTTGGAGGCGGTTATTTAGGTTTACCACGCCGCAGGTACCCAGTACAGTATTCTAACCCATTACATATCCAGATACGTATGTCCTCAACGCTGAACTTTAAGCATTGAATATGAATTACCATTTTAAAGACTTAAGTACCGAAGCGGGATGATTTGAATATGATGCGATAATTCTGCAAGATTTACATGGTTATCAATTTATCTTACAGTAATAGACATATCACGTCCAATTTGTACCAAAGTTGTTTTGAATCGATCTTAATCTATAAGTGTGAAGATATACGGTCATATAATTGTACGTACTGTAAAGGCAGATGAAATGTAGCTATATGTTAATTATCCGATAACTAAATGTGGGACCTTATCTCTTCTCTCCTTTCTAAATAACTTTCTTCTTCCTAATGTATCCCTTGACAATGCCTCACTTTTGGCCATTTGTTGAGCGTTCGCCCCTGTGAGGAAGGTTTTGGGTTTGTCCCCTGGCCAAGAAATACCAAAGTCTTTAAAAATGGTAGTTTATACTCCTGCTTAACGCGCAGCAAATTAGGAGTGGGACGACTGGTTTGCCCGTTGTCAGTATAATGTGACCGGGTGGGGCATCCTGCTAGGTGTCTTCGGCAGTATGTTTCAGTGAGGTAGCACTATAAAGTCCGCATCAGTTTCGCGCTATCACAAGGAGACAAACACGAACATATCGCAGCCTCCCAAAATACACACACATACACTACACGCATGCATCTTGCACACAGTGGAGGCCATCCTTAAATGACCTTAACTGTTCATAGGACGTTAAACAAAATCAAACAAACAAACCATTGCCTGATCGTAAGAGGCAACTAAATTTGGAATCTTATCTTTTCTCTTCTTTGTAAACATATTCATTTTCCTTATGTCTCACTTGACTATTCCTCACTTTCGGCAGTATGTTTCAGTGAGGTAGCACTATAAAATCGGCATCAGTTCCCCGCTATCACAAGGAGACAAACACGAACATATCGCAGCGTCCCAAAACACACACGCATATACTACACGCATGCTTTTTGCACACAGGGGAGGCCTTCCTTAAATGACCATAGCTGTTGATAAGACGTTAAACAATACTAAACTAAACCAAACCAAACCAAACCCAAGTCAACTGTGAAAGAGATGTGAAATTTCCAGACAAAGGGTAACAGACATAATTGGTAAGGTTCTGTTGGTGTTTATGAAAACACTGAAATCACCATTGCTCTCTAATCGGCAATCAACGCCGGTATATGCAATTCATTACGTTCGTGTGGTTGTACTTTAACTAACAGTACAACCATTATTGACATTTTTACTGTATTTATAATAATAATTAGCATGCCTGGAATTATTAGAAAGAATGCAAAATATACTTATCGGATATTAAATACGAATACGATGTACCTTATTTCATTAGAGGCTTCCGGATTTTATTTTATTCCGTAACATCGGTCTTCCGAACTAACCATATCTCACAAAGGGGAGATATATGGTTAAATCGCCCAATTGCGCTCATGGTACGTTTGGTGCTTTGTGCAATCATATGCGCACGGTACGTTTGGTGCTTTGTGCAATCATATAACTGTATGTCCCAGCCTGATAAAAGAACACATTGCCTTTACTGTGGCGAACATCAACACTAGACCGAAGGTGAGGTGTGTGAGGTTTTGTCAAACCAGGCGCTAGGAAACAGAAAGTCTGTTACAATGTAAGAAGGGACATATATATGGGTGATCTTTAATTGCCATGGGAGCCCAACGTTGCCATTCTACCTTTCCTGCTTAGAAGTTGAAAAAGCAATCAATGCATGGTATGGAGGTGTTAAAAGCTAAACTTAATGCATTCGTCAAATGTCCGTAAAACAACAATACAGCAAGTAACTACTGATGCAGGTATGTACCGATAGAGTAGTTATACAGATTTAAGCGCAAATTATTGCTGTCCATTTGTAGGTCTCCGTCATAAACTTTACTAATATATAGACATGTTGCTTCTGCCGATATGGCTATATCAGGGATTTAAACAATCATAAAATTGATTTCAATCTGTTCATTTAATTATCATTCACGTGTTTCAACAAAATCAAACGCAGTAAATGTTTTCATTTTGCTTAAATAAAAGAACGGATGTGATGAATAAAAACAAAATGCTTAATGACGGAATCATACAAAATTTGCAGATGTGGTTTTTTCATACTCAAATGTAAATAATGGGAAAAATCAATACTAATTAATTATGCTTAACGTCTGTGAAAATAAGACATGACCGGTAATTGTTTACGCCCCGTTCAATGTCTGCACTTAACTGTGGGAGATATAACAGCGTTACTGGTCATGTTTTATAGCAACTTGAATGTTGTCTGCGCACGGAATCATCAGTAACAGTCGCAAGAGACGGCCATATACGTGTGAAGGTCTAATCAAATAAGATGGGGATGTTAAATATTCGATTGATTTGACTGCAATTATCCACTATGCGAGAGACTAGTTGGAGAGAATGATGTAAGATGGGAACTTTTTGACGTCAATTCTTGGCGTTATGAGCAGTTATGAGTGAATCTGAAGAGGTGTGATTTTGAAGGTTGCATGCTAAATTTGTTGACGGCGCGATGTATCTCTGGTATGGTATAACTCTCACGACCTCTCAGACATGTGTTCAGCTGATCAACGAAAGACAGAGATTACTTAGCGTGTTTCTTTAACATTTATGTCGCCGTTGACGTAACTTTCACTATGAACTGATAGTACTACCCTCTTATTCCTCTAGACCATGTTCCCCGTATTTTACTCCGTCCTCCTTTTTCGTTGATGCGGGCTACCAATCGACGCATCACTATTATATGTGGATATCTACCTTTCACTTGAACACATTACATCTAATGATGTACCGAAGTCAGTCATCTATTACGACTCCCTATCTGTTCTAGTAGTAATATAACGAATCTCAAATCCCTCTCCAAAACTGTAAATATCGCAACAACTCTTATCTTAACTGTTGGGTTTTTCAAAAAGATATTTTACTAACCATTTGCTTTTGAAGTTGACATATGTCATTTTATCTTTTCGGTTTTTTAATGCCATTTCCTTTTGTGTGAGTTATCTACCTTTTATTGGCTCTTCTGTTTTGATGGGCCTTTAAAACTCAATATCGAACTTCGATGAGACATTGTGTAATTTACATTATGATGTCTTTGAATTCTGTTTGAAATGAATATTCCTACCATCCTGGACTGTCTGGGAAACTGTTTGCTCAAATTCAGTGTCCCAGTGAAAAAATATTATTAATATTTGATTTGGTTATTAACAAAAGAGGTAACTAGGGACAATAAAAGTAGATAAAACGAAAAGGTAAAAGATAAACGTGAACTTGAAAAAAAGTTAAAGTTGGATTTTATTTATTTATGCCTTTTTTAACAGACCAACAGCTTTTAGGTAGGTTAGAATTGAAAATACTGATTGTTTCAAAAAGTGATTTGAGATATGTTATATTATTATAAAAAATGCTCTTGATGACTGAAGGTCAATGCAATCTTATAAGAAGTCTTTCACTGTAAATGGTTCGTGACATACTATGCGTTGTGGCTTGTCTGCGCTTCTCAATAAATAGGAATGGGTTATGTATGAATGACCAATCCGGAGACGGGCAAGGACAACCTTGTCTCGGCGGTTTTCTCTTTAGCTTGGATACCATTCACCGATTTTTGGTTTTACACAGTGTAATGTGTTATCAACACATTGATTCCAATTATTTTGCCGCTTTAAATTACATGTCTTTTAAATGAATGGATCACTTAATTTATTGTCATAAATGGTTTGGTTTCACAGCATGTTATGGAAACATTGAAAACACACATTTTTTCGATGATTAAATTTGTTTTAAGAAATGCTATAAATATATATACTTTTTGTACTATTAAAACTCCAGTAAATAGGCGGAATCAAACTGTACTCGTTTTTTTCGATCATCGTAACCATTAACGGTGCCGTCGCATGAGGAAAAGACTTTCGCTTGTTTATTGTATCTTTTTTTATTGTTATTATTTTAAATGCCACTAAGTGCAGATATGATGCCGAAGTCAGCGCTACCTTACTAAAATGCCATGCCGAAGGCATTCAGCAGGTGAACTTTTTATATGACCTAATAAGCTGTCCGGTTATAATGCCTTACACTGATCTTACTCCTAGCTTTTTAACTTGACCGTGTCATTTCGATTTACTAAAGCATACCTAGGAGAAACATTTTTAACGCAGAAAGCAAATATATAAATGTTTAGTTGCGTGAATATATGTTTAAAAAGTCTCATATTGGCAATCTTGATCAAGACCGATTCACATTAACTTACTTTTAACAACTTTGATTTCATAAAAATGTTATCAAATAAAAAATATTCAATCTTAATCTTGAAAACATTTTCGCTGGATACTTTTGAAGCTTGACATTCGTAGACTAGTGTACATATATAACGCATTTAATTTTTGTTTGTTTGTTTGATTTTGTTTAACGTCCTATTAACAGCTAAGGTCATTTAAGGACGGCCTCCCCTGTGTGCAAGATGCATGCGTGTAGTGTATGTGTGTGTTTTTTGGGAGGCTGCGATATGTTCGTGTTTGTCTCCTTGTGATAGCGAGGAACTGATGCCGGCTTTATAGTGCTACCACACTGAAACATACTGCCGAAGACACCCAGCAGGACGCCCCACCCGGTCACATTATACTGACAACGGGTGAACCAGTCGTCCCCCTCCTAATTTGCTGAGCGTTAAGCAGGAGTATAAACTACCATTTTTAAAGACTTTGGTATGTCTCGGCCAGGGGACAGAACCCAAAGCCTTCCTCACAGGGCATATTCCGGTAGGTCATCAAACATAGCCGCTTCTGATTTGCCGAGACATATTACGTGCTATTTTTGTATAGAATGTATCAAAATTAGTGAAAACGGTGTTCATGTGACAACCGTTCAGGATTGAAAACCTTAATCCTACTTTTTTGACATAATGGCTGCTTTAAACTGGCTTCCAATCGTTTACATTTCAGATATTGTCCGATTTATATTAATTGATCTGTTTCTATACAATGGCACTGCAACTTCTAATTCGACTTCCGTTTAATCATGGGGGGGAATGCTACTGATTGGACGAAATTGAGATATTGTTCGATTTTGCATTGTTAGGTCACCTGAGCTTTGCTCAAGTGACCTATTCCAATCACTTTCCGTCCGTCGTCGTCCGTCGTGAGTAAACTTTTTACGTTATCAACTTCTTCTCAAGAACCAGTGGATGGATTTTTTTCAAACTTGGTCAGAATCATCCTTGGTAGATGAGGAGGGGGTAAAGTTTACTATAGTTTCTATAGGAAACAACACTTTTGGGTATATTTTGACAATTTTCTGTTGGAAATTATATTTACTTGATGAGAATTATCCTTGGAGGAGGAAGATGGTTTTAAATTGTAAAATTGGGATTCCTACCCCAACCCTAGGGGCCAGGGCGGGGCCCAAAAGGGACAATTTGCCAATATTTCAAAAATCTTCTTCTCCAGACTCAGCGGTATTGCAGTCATTTTCTCTGCATGGATGGAAAGATCATTAGGGGCTTTATCTAAATTGTGACTTTCAGGACCCCCGAGCTATCCGTTCTCCCTTGGGGAGGGGGTAAAGTTTACTATAGTTTATATAGGGAAACAACACTTTTGGGTACATTTTGACAATTTTCAGTTGGAAATTATTTTTACATGGTGAGAATTATCTTTGGTGGATGACGGTATCACATTGTAAACTTGGAATTCCTGCCCCATCCCCAGGGGTTAGAGCGGGGCCCCAAAGGGAACATTTACAAATATTTTAAAATTCTTATCCTTTGATGACATGACAAGTATTGTATTTCACTTAGTTTACTTGCTGATTTCCACATCACATCTAAACAATAAAATAATTGTCATCGGACAAAATGACTGGCATCGGCAGATTTGTGACAATACTATGTTAAGATATTTTTATATTCGTGTCTATTCGCCAAATTTGTATAATGCATATAATGGCACTGCAAACTCTAACGAGGCTTTATTTAAGTAAATGTCTGCCATTGACTGGTTTTTAATTTTTATTATAAAACTGTAAGTTTGTATGTGAATTCTATTTGATGTTTAAGCACAATGGCTGCCGTTCATTGGCTTCTGATTGGTGGAAATAAAAATATTGTCAAGGAGACAGTCGTCTAGAGAGACGTCATAGAAAGGCGGAAGTTGGAAAGTGCGAGAAAGGAAGATAAAGACAGAAAAAAATATATAATGTGGACAACAAATCCTTTTGTGTTTGTCCAATGTCCCTTAAGCAGAACATAGACGAACAAAACCCCGATTCTGTTTTTTGCCCATCATTAGTCGCTTATTACGATTACATGCAGTTGGACATAGCGGGTTGATTTATTACCCGCACCTGCAGCATTTTCCTCCACTAAATCAGGAACATAATATATAACTGAATGCTCGCTCTTGTGGCATTATTATGGTTAGGCAGACAGATTATATATAAAGCCTCCATGTAATCCTATCTATATATTCAACTCATTGCAATAATACAAAGAGAAATAGGACACAGCTGATGTCCTATAATAAAGAATATTAACGACAGCCAACAGAATAGCGTATCACACATTTTGAGTTCGTTTTGCTATCAATATTAATAGTAACAAAATTTAATCATAAAACAAACATTTAAAAAAGTGAGCGTTAAGCAGGACAGGACAGCAATTATGTTTGTAGCGGCATTTGTCTTTTCAGAAATCTCATAGAAAAAAATGTTTAAGGATCCCCTTTAACAAGAACCATTATTAGTTCAGACTTCTCCCGATACAATCACAATTGCATCCTTTGTGATCCCAAGGCCACTTATCTTTTTCCCTAAGATAATAAGTTATAGTGTTTTTTATTCTAATTAATAAATGAAAAAAGGGATTTGGAGACATTCAAATCGCACATGTAAATTAACCTTTCATATTTAACAAAGACATTTTGTAAGTTGATATGTATATATATATAAACTTTATTATTTTACAACAATTATGACACAAGTTATTTCTACTTATAGTATATCAGTCACTCCTGTTGGCCCAGATGCTAGCCGGGGGAGGGGGGAGGGGGGCTGAAACCGGAACAAAAACACGTGGTCGGACAGGTGACCCCATACCTTCTCACGTCCGATCGGGGAATCGATCCCCGGTCGCCTTGGTAAAAGGCAAGTGCGCTATCCACTGCGCCACCCGACTTCTATAAGCAGATGTTTCAGGGCTTCCAATGGACGCTTGTAAGCACACATTTGACTCTCTAAAAGGAGCTTTTACTTTTGAGTTTGAAAGGACAAGTTTATTTGACACGTATGTTGACCCTCCGCAAACCAGGAGGAAATCTTTTGAAAGCCCTGCAATTTTTGTCTGACATACGAAAATTGCTCTTAGAATATAAGATGACCGGACTTTTATATTTTACATTACCAAATCATGTTGTTACTGTAGATTGCCTACAGTAGACTGGGTTGCACGTCTTCGAATAAGCGTTTAAGACGGGGTTTTGTTCAACGTCATATCAACAGCTATGGCGGTTTATAGGACGTTAAACAAAATCAAACAAACAAGCTATGGTCATTTAAGGACGTGTTTCCATGTGAGCTGTGTATGCACGCTTGCGTGAGAGTATGTGCAGGAGGCAGAGTATGTTGGTGTATTTGCCTTCGTGTGATAGCGCGGATCTAATGCCTGATAGTGTTATCTCACTGAAATACAATGCTGAAGGCATCCAGTACAGCATTCCGCACGGTCACATCATTCTGACAACGGGTGAACCAGTTGTTGCAATTCCCGTAAATAATTCCCGTAAATGCTTAACGTTAAGCAGGGAAAACAACTACCATTTTAATGACCTTGGTATATCCCGGCCTGGGGACAAAACCCATGGCCCTTCTCACCTGGTCGAACGTTCATCATCATTGCGAAATCGCCAACATTCATCAATACTTTTGCAAATGGTTTGTTCTCGATTTCGTGTGTTTTTGATCTGAACTAACCGCCACAGGTGATGTCTCTACAGGCAATGCTTAAATGCCCATACTTGATATAATTTAATAAACATTGTTAAACACAAAACGTATATTATTTGTGTACATTTTTATGTATTGTTAATATTTCAGTAATGTGTTCTTAATGCATAACAACTTGCATGTAACACTTATCCTTTCAAATAGAAATGAGTATGTGCAAACTAACAATCCTTGCGTGCGAATAAAACAAAACTTCTCTTGAAGAAGGCTCCGATACTGTGACGTTGCATTTAGTATACAACATGATTTGGGAGATGTCCGTTGTGTCTCGTAAGTTACCTGCGGAGTTGCCTTAATTTGATAAGGAGACCGCATATATGTTGCCAGATGTGATGCCGATAAAAATTACAATGCTGTAACACATGGGTTTGCCTCCCGTATATTTGTAAAGATTTATAACGTCTTGTCAATAAATGAAATAAATAAATAAATATACAACACTTGATGTCACGCCCTATCTAGTAAGAACTAGCCACTCTTAAGCGGCTAACAGTAGGGTATAGCTATACAGATATACAATCAATACATTTAACATATACATTAAATAAAACATTTTTGCAGGAGCTGCCTTATCATGCGCTTACTACGAATCATATGCCACCTAGCAAATATCTCCTTATGTGTGTCTGCCTGCTTAAGAGCTGAAGATGTATTTTATAACAATGGTTAAGTGACTGTTGGACCTGCTGCATGTTATTGTAATAGGCGACTAATGTGTGCCACGTCACTTTTCCAGCAAACTCGGAGAAACCTTAATTGACTTCCTCCTGTCCCTAATTAATATATATGGTTTTATCTTTAATGACTTCTCTATCCTTCTCTTTTCGATGATGCCTCTAAGGCACCCGTGTTCCTATGAGCCAGGCCGCCGAGAGAACATTAAACTTCATACCAACAGCGTGCAATTCGCAGTTATAGACAAAATATAACCTTGACACCACGAGCATGCATTGTAGAAAATAGACTAAGTTATACAAGACACTACCAAACCTAATAAATTTGAAAAATGTGTAAATTTTCCGTTGTGATAAGTCTACGAGAGTGATCGATTGGCATAGGTGGACAGGGATTGTAGAGCGCCTTACTGGCGAGAGGAATGCCCTGCATGAATAAGATTTTTTATGAAGCGTTGTCTTGTTTTACACCTTATACATTTTTCTAAGACGCTTGTGAAAGTCGCCATGTGCAATTTTTCTTAAAATGCGATCAAAGAGTCATGGTCATTGTATTTTATATTTCTAACATTGTGTTTTTAAACTATTGGCCATTATTGTCATGCTTGTAATTCAGCATTTACTGTCAAACTTTTTTATGAATTTTATAATGTACTCGGTTTTAAACAAAAAATGTGTGCGGTGCCAATAATAGCTTATTACTTACACTCCATGGATCATTACAATAACATTTGACGTATACAGTCTTTACAATATATAGCATCCTATTCATGTGTTACTGCTGTATCGTTTAATCTTTTATACCTTTTCACCTATATAGTTTTAGTCTGATGGATTTCTGTTGTGAAGGTCTAATTTTAGCGTTGTTTGGTTCTAAATGTTTTAAATATTTGATAGGCCGACAAAAAATACAACTTGCACGATAAGCCATCGTGCGCTAAGCAATATTCACTTCTTCATTTTTTTCTTCATGCTTTGAAAAGTAGAGAAAACATGTGACAGGTAATGACATCAGACCAACGAAAAAGTAAAAGACATAAGTAGCTAAGTAAAGTTATTTCTTTTTTAACAGACCAACATTGTTAGGAACATCATAGGTTAGAATTGTAGAGATGTTTACTATTTCGTCTAGCATCGAGGAGAAGCAACCATCATCACTCTACCAAGAGCTTTCCTCTGCTTCAGTCACTCTGGAACTGAGGGGAAAAAAACTGTGCATTTTGTTACCTGTTGCAAGATTTGTCAGAGGCAACGGATGCAGAAACCTTCTAACTTGTGATATTTTGTTTGAACAAAAATTTTAGTAACCAAAAACCAAAAAACAGGAACTCGGCAAAACATCATAAAAATTGACACAAGATCAATAAGACAAATATCAAAAATTGTCATTTTGACGTTAATAAGTCTAGACTTAATCATTATCTAGGTTCTAGTAATGGGATGGCAAAATAGCTTCATTTCAGCTAATGTACAAATAACTTGCATATACAATTGCAACACTTATTCAAATACATACAAAGTGAGCAGTGCCAAAAACATTTATAATGATCGACATACCTTCTGATGTCTTTTTATGTGAAAGAATGTAAATGACAAAAAAGTACGATATCGCGTAGGCCAAGCGGTTATGAATCTGACCTTCTACGATCATTAGCTCTCCATCAGTGGGTCGCGTGTTATATGTCTACGATGAACAGTTGCCAGATACTGGCCGCATGTCGTGGTTGTTCACCGGATACTCCGGTTTTCCTCAACCACGAAAACCTGACTCGTCTTTAAATGACCATGACTGTCAATAGGAAGTTAATCAAATACATATCAAACCAAACGATACCAAAACCCTTGAGCCTATATAATAACAGCAAACAAAAATCAGCTACACATTTCCCGTTCTAGCTTTAGTACAACTCTTGATACGTGTCTACCTACTTACACCATGGTCGCAAACAACTGTTTATCACGAGCTCGAACATTGCTTTAAATGTTTTATCGATGGAACGTCTCCATAACTTCTGTTCCTAGGTTACTTTCTCCTATACGATAAGTCTTTGTGGGGCTTTACTGTTTGCTATTGTGCTCTCTCGCGAAATACTAGTGTATTGTTTAAAAGTATGTCTGACAGGGAAACCGAAGGTGAAGCACAGCCTGTGGTGTGTTTCCCTAACAGCACTGTTTTCTAATCAAATATTCTAAAATGCACAATATTGATCACCATCCAATTACGAATTTTAATATATATATATTTCTTTTTACAATGGAATTTTATTTTTGTATTTAAACAAGTGCATGAAAAGTTATTTGATAGTCTCTGCTTTTAGTGTACGATATTTAATTTATCTGTGCGGCAAGATATAATATACATTACAACCAACATGCTTTGGATTTTATTTTTATTTATTCACTTTTACATAAATGTTAAACATTATTTTAACATTTTTGATTAAATTTGATTTATTCTTTTTTAAGCTGTTTGTCCTTATATGACTCCACTTTTCAATGTGATGTAAAAAAAAAAAAAAAAAAAAATACAAAACTATTACATGTATATATCCTGGACCGACAACATCGCTATAATTGTAAAATTTTCATTCTATACTAAACATAATGCAGACATGCAAAGAAATCATTTAATTGCGACATGCTGGCGCACAAATCGCATTTACCCTTTAAACGTCTACATTTTAAGTGTACGTGTTCAAAGAAACATTAATGTGAGGTGAGGTCCTTATATGTATCCTTGAATAGGACCATGATGTTGAATAATTGTAAACAATGCATTTTATTCTATTTTTCAGGGTCTTTGAATGGCTACACTTTTGACACCGAAACGAATTTCCTGCAGAGAAAATCAGGATGTGGGATTAGAGGAAGGATCATTGTCGCATTACAAGCGGGTGGACTAAATCGATATTCATCCGCGGCGCCTAATCACCATGAAAAATATGTGCTGAATACCGATTTGGCTATCTGTGATAAGACATGGATACTATGGGTGTAATATGTATCGCCGAATCCATGACAACACTCTATCCAACATCTTAAATAATCGGTTTTGTCATGTGAAAGTGTCAAAAATATAAAAATATGCTACGTTTAATTTAAAGTGATTGACAAAATCAAAGAACCACTAAGTTGAACATTTATGTTTCCTTTTAACGCTTTAAACAGCGGGAAATGGAATTACAAGTTAATGGGTCGACGGCGTGTCACATTTTTGAACTCTCTCATTCAATGCAATAACTGCAAGAGGTGTTTTGTGAAATCTGTTTTGAAATCATAACAATTATATTATGCATCTCTGTTCTGCATAACAGAACTGACAAATGAAACTTCAGTACCACGGGGAAATGTAATTTGTTTTGTGGGATCAATTTCAAGTCAGATAGTCATGTTTGTTATGAAATTTCGTGTAATCATTGATAACGTGAATTATATCGACCCTCCATTTATTCGAAAAAGTTTAGGACAATCAGTTTAAAAGTTCTCGTGTGACAACAATTAGGTAATCGATGGCGAAGATATGTGATATCTGATCTATTTGCCTCAGTTGTTTTACCATGGAGAATTGTTCGGCAGGAGCGGAGGGAGTTTCGTTCTACGACTTGAGCCCGGGGATGATTGTTGCTTGTATAGCTCTGGGGTTAATCAATCTCATCGTGCTCCTTGGTAACAGCTTGGTTATTACAGCTGTAGTCCGGAACCGGAAGTTGCGCACTATCACAAATATATATATAGTGTCTTTGGCATGCGCAGATATGCTTCTCGCAATTTTTGTACTTCCATTTTCTGCAGCTTTGGAAGTTTTGCACTTTTGGCCATTTGGAAAACCATTTTGTTCCATGTGGCTAGCTATCGATGTCCTACTGTGTACTGCATCCATATTGAATTTGTGCGCTATAAGCTTGGATAGATTTTTAGCGGTTACAAAACCTATTCGATATCCTAGTCTTGTTTCCAAAAAGAGAGGGAAAATCTTAGTGATGTGTGTTTGGGTGTTGTCCTTCGTGATTTCATTCCCACCCTTGATTGGCTGGAATGACGAGAATAATGGAATACAGAAACACAACAACTGGCTTATAACAGAGCAGGAACGCGATAATTACACAAAGGGAGGTAATTACTCTACTACAGGCAACTTATACAACGAAAGGGCAATTAATGAAACAATATGTGTGAAGCTATACCCTGAGTGTGAACTGACCCCCACCAAGGGTTATAGAGTATACGCCGCCCTCGGGTCTTTCTATATTCCAATGTTTATCATGTCTTTTTTCTACTGTAGGATATACCGAGCTGCTATACGTACCGCAGCGTCGCTCAGAACGGGAATACTGATGACCAAGCGTACGGACGAACAAACTAACAACAAGTGTCCAAAGATGGACACGATCGCGCTACGTGTCCATCGTGGGGGTGGATCCATATACCGGTCACCATCCAACATGTCAAGCCGAAGGACGTCATATCTCATTTGTAGTAAGGAGGAAAGATTAGCAAATTGCAACAGCGATATAGAGCTTCTGCCGTTACGTAATCGTCCCATTTCTTGTAATAACAATAACAAAAGATCCCTCACACATAACCGCTCCGATTCCGACTTAAGAAATGGGACGTTCCGTCACCAACACAGGTGCACAACCGACCCTGCAAGTGACAGCTTGGCAGTCTATCTAGGCACCTCAACCTCACCACGAACACAGTGTCCGGAAAGTCCCTATCAAAATCGGAAGCTGGTGGTTAGCAACCGGAACTTTGGTCCCTCAAACAGACGTCATCGTTCTGTTCTCTTTATCAACGATGGACAACCTAATCAAAAAATTAACATACGTAAATTTCTAAGGGACACGAAGGCGGCAAAAACTGTCGCAATTATTGTCGGTGCTTTCCTTTTATGTTGGTTTCCATTTTTTACCATTTATTTGATTGGAGCATTTTGTTCCGACTGTGTTCCCGGTTTAGCGTTTTCAATATTTTTCTGGCTTGGATATTGTAATTCAATGATAAATCCATTTATCTACGCTTTATTTTCAAGAGATTTTAGATGTGCTTTTAGAAGAATTCTATCTTGTAGGAGAGTTTCCCGAACCTTTTTATTTCGGAGAGCGGACCAATCTCCGTGTAACAAAAGAATGCTTGGAGGCCCCGTTCTAGAAAGTGAAAGTTATTCCGACTTTTGATTGTCATTTTACATTTACATGCGATGGATTATTTCTCAACTTACTTTTTACAATGATTAGACGCTAAACGGACATTTTCTTTGTTTGAACTATCAGTCAGTGTGCAGTGCGCATACTTGTAGTTGCAATACCGCAGCAGCTAAAGTTATTCGCTGAATGCCTTCATTAAATTAAAATATATTTAAAACACTTAACTATAGAATAAAAACATAAATCATTCAGGTCGTCCGCTAGTCGTTTCTGCCTTCTAGAGCTTCTTCATATATATATGTTATATTTCATCATTTGTGATTGATATTCAATATCAAATCATAGTATGTAGGTCTTTCTTAGGATATGAATAATTATTGAGCATGAATTCGAACGGATTTTCAAGGTCTTCATAAAATCAATCACTTACAGTTTATATCATATTAAGCTAATTCGAGTAGCATGACTGTTCCTCGTGCTCATTTAAATAGTTTCTGATTGAATGAACAACTTTCTAGTAACGGTAGATCAGAAATATTTTAATGAGCATGCGAACATTGCTACCTATATGCCATGAAATATAAACGACATAAATAGGAAGGTCAAACAAATAGCAAGCGTGTATTTTCGACAGAAGTCTTTCAACTTTTAATCGAAGTTGGATATATGTCTCAAAAGACAGAGATGGTCGATATATTTTTTGATTAGATTATATTTGTCCTATTTTTCAAAGATTGGCACTTTAGATATCTTGATTACATATAAATACTGTGATATGATAATGGTCCCGATTACAGTGAAATTTAAAATGGCACGTCAATGACAAAAGGTTTATGTAGATTTAACATTCCTTCATGGCCTTGACAAAGAGCTGTAGTTGTGCTGGTTGATCGAAGATTTATTATTTTGCCCTAACTATGTTAACATGTTATTGTCTAAAGATTATAACTATTATTATGTTTTGTTGGCGTTTAATGTCCTCGCAAGGAGGTATCTAGGGATACACCGCCTTGAAAAAGAAAGTAGATAGAAAAGAAAGATTACAAGGATGATACATGTTAGAAACGAAAAAGATCCCAAGTATTTCAATGGGGGCAGCAGCTCAATGTTTGTATCTTCGTGTCCTATTCGTAGATTACACGGACGAAAAACTCAAATTATGTAAGGGGCCGAACACCAGTCGTCCTTTACCATACACATGCAGTGGAACACAGCAGGTCTTTTCTTGATTTCTTCAATGTTCCCAATATAGAAGACAAGGCTGAAACCGCCCCGTTTCTGCAGGGGGATTAACAAAACTATTCGATAAATGTTTGTACGAGGATTTAACATACTTGCTTCAGCTAATGTCAGATGTGAGGGCCCTTTGGACTTCTTTTTATTTATTTTTTATTTTCTAAAAGTAACACATAATCGTAAAACTTTATAGCTATTTGTCAACAAAGATTCATGTTATAAAATGGGATCGAAATATGAAGGAATTCAGTTGTTTATATTTCTTTCAAGCAGTGAAATATTTTCGAACACTGGGTGGAACCAGTCTTAAAACGTCATAAGAATATATCATGCGACGTTAAATTTTATACAGTAGCGTGCGTCTGGAAATCACAAATTTAATATCGTAATTAATCTATCAACATTCCACTGTCGGATATCAAAAACACAGAATATGTCGCATAAGACAATTTAAACACATATCATGCAGCCGAATGTATCGAAAAACGCTACTGTCGAACTCAATGTCAGCCAATAGCCACAAGCCGCCAACACAAATCGCTACGACAGAACGTTGTAAGCAATAAGGCATTCTAAGTTAGCTATAAACCACATGTTAGCAATAAAGAAGACCGCTACGTCAAAACTTACATGCCGTCATACATACTTATATAAAGGAAAACGGGTACACCGCTACGACTGAATTCAATAGTATATCAATGAAGACAAGTCGCTACGGCAGAGCTTAACATACATGTTAGTTAAAAAGACACATCAAAACATCCGAATTGTTTGTTAACTATAAGGAATATCGCTACTGACAAACGTCCGCATCAACCATAAGGCTAACTGCTACAACAAAACACTATGATAGTCATAAGCAGACTGCTACATAGAAATCTACGCAAGTCTAAATGATAATCGCTTCTGCCAAAATGTATGTCAGGAAAAGGCAGCTTGCTATGAAACAAAACTATGTTGGGAATAAGAATGTGTGATTCGACAGTCCTGTCTTGACAGAACTCTTCAAGAAAGTAAAATTCAGGTTGCTATGAGCGAACGCTTTGTAAACCAAAAGGCAGACCACCAGACATGAAATGTGTGTAAGCCATACGTCAGCTTACTACGGCGAAACGTTGAGTCACATCGCTACAATTTGATATGAATATAAGCATGTATCCTGTCAAATAAGATTGTATAGAATAGCGTGCAAACTTACATCACCAATCCAATATCATATGTAACCTATCAACATTCCAATGAAAGGCATTTAATACGTAGAACATGTCACATAAGGCGATTTAAACACATATCATGCAGACGAATTTAAAGGGAAAACACTACTGCTGAACTCTGTGCAAGTCTTATGCAGACCACAACGACAAAACTCAATGTTAAGCCCTTAACATTGCTATGTATATCACTTGATATGACAGCGGATTCTCATAGGAAAATGTCATACACTTTGGTCTGTCAATGAGACCAATACTATCACTGCTTTCCCCGAGAGAACGTTCAAAGACATGACACTTGCTGCCACAATATGTGTCTTAAGAATCGGTAGTGTGATTATCTTTTATTCAATTCTTGTTGGAGGCGAGAAATCTACATGTACGATGTATTTAATACCGATAGAATATATCAACAATTACCGTTATGTGTATTTCAGAAGGAGGTATCGGCCCCCATTAAATCAGTCTACGTCATCAAAATCTACGTGAAACAGGTTTTGTTGCGTTTATTTTGTATGCTGCTTTCGTATTCTTTTATGACAATTCCGCCCATTTTCTGTTTGACTTAATTGCTTACATGATTTTATAAAAAGAAGATGAGGCTGTTATTTGTAGTAAAACTCCAGGGCGCTATATCGCAGCCTCCCAAAAGTATTCATTACATAACACTTCAATCTCGTGATGAAATTAAAGATTTAATGTGTCATCGCCACGACTGACAACCTTGCATTCCCCCTTCTGCAGATGAAGAGATATACCGACAGGTAGTGTAGAAATAAACAGTTGTGTCGTATGGTTGAATGTTTTGAGTGGTGTTATTGTTTCAATTATTTAAGAAATGGATATGCGCGTGCAATCGATCTGTATGTGGTAGTATATATTATATTTAGTGAAAAAATAATAAATAACATTTTATCTCGTTGCTCAATTAAGACGTGTTGGTGTTATATCTTTTAATACAGTATTTCATGGCCATACACAATAGTATACCCTCTTTGAAATGTTAAACTTAAGTAGACACAACGGCAAGGTTGAAGGAAGGAAGACTATATAAAGTATGCTTCATTTTAATTGCAATCTATTCAATCACTTCATGAAAACTCTTGCGTTGAACTTTGTTCAATAAGCATTGAAAGATACATGTTTTCAACAGAAATGTTTCCATCCATTTGTGATATGTATGATACGTCTATGAATGTCAGATGAACGCAATGACTGTCTAATGCACGCGACGCAGTGTTTAAATTTCTCTTTGGTTTAGCCTCATTTGGTTACTATGCAGCCGGAACCATCAGGCGTTTTGACATCTATATTAGGTTGAGGCTATAGCGGTGATTAGTTGCCCTGGCCAATCTGTTTATTCGGCTGTAAAGTAAGCTTAATCTGTATTGGTCGTAGCCTAATTTAATTTCGAACTACTGGTTTCTTGTCACGAACACCAGTAAGAGGGAGACAGGGGACAATGTCTCTGAGATTTCTGCTGAAAGTGGAAATCGAACACAGTCCATTGCGTGGAAGGCAAGATGCTTGACTATTGAGTCGAATCGCCTAGTAAAACAACACAAACTGTCAGTTGACCATTTACATAACCATTTTACTTTGATGCAAAATTCCATATCATAATTCGTACCACGTGGCCTTATATGACATGAAAATGAGCGTGACTCAGTGCCTTGATGACGGATCATCAGGTTTATTTTAAATAGTAACTTGTTTTAACAAGGAGATCAAGGTTTTATCAGTGTACCTGTAGGATATATTTATAATCCAAAGGGCACATCACAGAAAGCGGCGATCAGTACACACAGTAGAAAATGGGTAACTACTGGATTTGCAAATATAGTTTTGTTATTGAATTATTTACAGCCATTCGTTTCAGAAGAGGTATTTAAGTGAAAGGAAATAACATTAAACAAATGAAACGGCCAATTCGAAAAGCAAACTTTTCTTATGGTACGATTATCGTTTCGCATAAATAGACACAGGACAAATTGCTACAGAAAGGAAAATACATAACTATTGCAATGGATAAAGTGAGCGTTTTTTAGTTTCGTTATGTTCTTAAATGATCATATGGCTTTAAAACCAAGAGGAAGATGTCCGCTCATATGGAATAGCTTCGAACTGAGTACCAGTTTTGTAACAAGAAAAATCATTAAAATCACTGCCATGGTATCAACATGTACAACACAATCTGGACAAAAAGAAAAAAAGGAATTAATGATGCATACAAAGTCGTAAAACTACACAAAATTACAGAGGCAAAACCAGGGATTACGGATGGGTAAGCAATTCCTGCTCCACATGGTACATCAACCACAAGATCTTCAGACAATTCAGATATTGTTTTCGCCACCGGCGATACAATATATATATAGTGAACACGCTTTGGTTATGGCTCATGTAACCATTCCGCATTGTTGACATGTGTCCAGACAAAACGCGATTCCACGTAACTATATCTCGATGACAACAGAGATAAAGATATGAAGGGCACACAAGTTAATCGTTAAAAAAGTAATAAGTTATAAAAATGGGTTTTGTTCGAATTTCTATTTTATTAGATGAATTGGAATAGGACAATTTGTTCTACTGGGAACGGTCAAACATGACATTATTAAATAGAGAATATGCGTTAGAGTCGAGAGACATCTCAGCAAGGACGACTAAAATACTGCTAGGATTTATAACATTATTTAAGAGAGGATTTGAGCTAGAGTCGCGACATCTCGGCAAGGACGACTAAAATACTGCTAGGGTTTATATATTTAATGCAATATGTCATAAAAATGTCTGTAAATGTATTATGTTCAGCGTTCTTTAGATAGAATTATCCGATGCATCAATCATCGAGATAAATTTAGTATCAAATACTGTGGAATGCTATTGGTTGCTGAATTTTTCCCGTTGACTCCAGGAATAAACACTTTCCTTTCAGATTACCGTCCTATCAACAGCATAGATCATCTAAGGAAATGCTTTCATGTGGGTTATGCGTGCTGGAAGCGGAATGCTCATGTCTTTGCCTCCTAAAGACAGTGCAGGTTGATGCTGACTAAGAGTATTACCTCACTGAAATACCATAACGAATAACGAAGGCACTCAACACCGTTTAACTTAACCAAAAAAACAGTGTGTACTGTAGCAGATATCTTGAAAACACATGTTTCAAGCGTGTTTGTCGGATGCTGGTGTTCTCGTACACCGCTAGCTAATTGAAACATATCCATTGCTTGCGGGATTCAGTCTGGTTTACTAGTATTGCATCAACAAGCACCGTTTCACTAGTGTTTTAACAAGGTCAATTAATGCATAAATCGTAATCGAACATAATGAATTACAATAATGTATTTGCTATCTCAAGTCAGGGGTATTATTCAATTGTAGCCTTTTGCTCAGGTCAATACCTGGATTTATCAATCCGAAATAGAGATATATACCGAGGAGGCAGTCCGAGTTCAAGATATCTTTTCTCGAGTAGATAAATCCAGGTATAGACCAGTAGTTTTAATATTTCCAATACAGTAATTTAAGCAATCTGAAAAAACATAAAAGAACAATTTAACCATTTTGCAACTGACCGCACTGACTTGGCGCACAATGGTTGATCGTTCTTTCCCTTTGGTGTACTCTCTAAGTGTTGTAGACATCAACTTTTTGTCTTATCATCGGTTTTACCCGAATAGGTTTTAATCGAGAGATTCGGACCGTGTCAAGTGACACTCAAAATGTGCCGACTCTGTATTTGTGCCGAGTCGAGCACATGCACTGTGGTCGCTCTACATGGATGGTTTCTTTGATTATCATGTTCATGAATGTCCCTTACTTGTTGAGTCCAACAGCTAAATTGATGTAGTAAACCCCATCCTTTGGTTTACAGCTTAGTTGCTGGAAACGTTTCGAACATTGAGGATGGATCTCACAGGGCACCTCATTACTTTCTGCAAATATATAACGTACAAATCTAGGTCAGAGGGCTCGAGATATTAATTTAAATAATGTCGTTTGACATATTACAATACTTTGTTTTGCACAATTGAAAATAACGCTAGTTACCGATACACGAGAATTGAGAAACACTTGCTTTGTAGACTGTTTATAATCAAAAAAATATTACTTAATTTGGTGAAAATGTAGATGCATTTATATGTTACAGTACCTTTGATTTCATACATCCTTCCGTTTGATGACCTCTCGCTGTCGTCCTGGTGGTTTTTGGTAGGTTCGTTTTGTACACATTCAGAGAACCTGTCGCGTCTCTGGTCACCCGAAATCCTCTCTTGAATGTCGAGCCAGATTTCCCCTGCCCCTTCTCCTTAAATGAAGCATGATGTCTACGAACACCTGAAAACACAAACATATAAATATCAGTAATCTGTCATGTTTATACATTCAAATTTTGAAATTATAGTGTGTACGTTTTAAGACAGCAGTGCAAAAAAGATAAATTAGAAATAATAAATATACAGTATCATTTTTGGTTTTTAACCATGTACTTTTATAGTAAATACTTCAAATATGTGATTTATATATAAAAACATTATTTGCTTTGCAAGTAAAACAATGTTAACATTGAATGCTTACATTTGTTTTCAAGGAAAAGAAAGTTTGTTGATTGTGTTACACTACATACTAGGCATTCTCCAGGTTATCATGCGTCCAAGTCCCTGCAGGTAGGGTGTAAGAATTGTACCTGCTGCCCCCATTGCATGATCGTAAGAGGCGACTAAATTTGGGATCTTATCTTTTCTCTTCTTTCTAAACAACTTTCATCTACCTAATGTCTCTTTTGACAATGCCTTAATTTTGGTCTTCAGTTTAGCGTTCGCCCCAGTGAGGAAGGCTTTGGTTTTCCCCTGGCCGGAACATATCTGAGACTATAAAAATGGTAGTTTCTACTCCTGCTCAACGCTGAGAAACTTAGGAGTGGTACGACTGGTTCGCCCGTTGTCAGCATAATGTGACCGGTTGGGGTGTCCTGCTGGGTATCTTCGACAGAATGTTTCAGTGAGGTAGCACGATAAAGTCGGCATCAGTTCCGCGCTATTACAAGGAGACAAACACGAAAATATCACAGCCTCCGAAAACACACACGCATACACTACACGCATGCATCTTGCACAGGCCGTCCATAAATGACCATAGCTGTTGATAGGACGTTAAACAATGCTAAACCAAGATAACCTCAGGGACTGACAACCTTGAGTTTAAAAATTATGTTTTTCCCTATATGAGAATGATTTATTGTGGGAGCCAATGAAGAATTATACAACTAAACACTATCACTGAACATGTACGAGAAAATTAGATCTTTGAATGAAAAGGTACTTGAGTGAACAGACTAAAATAGTTTTCATAAACCGTGTCTCCCATGTTGATAGAGCTCGCGTATGCTGTTTTGATTTCTTCCGGTATTTAAATTAAGTGTTAGAGCAAGATAAAATCTCCCAATTTGGAATTTGTTTACATGGAAACTTGTTCGTCTTTTGAACAGACTTCTAAAATCACATAACTTTTTGAATGTTTAAAATAATAGAAAGGAATAAAACATCCTCATAAATTGCAGTTATGTAAGTTTACATTTTTTCTAATAATATTTTCATAACGCGTTTTGAAAAATAGATTTCTACTCTGCGTTGAAACATTCCGTATACTTAGATTGAACGTTGATTTCGTTGACCCTAAACTGAGGCAATTTGTATCAATATTTTTTCTTAAGAGACATCAACGCATCACAATTTTGTTCTTTCTGTAAAAGAATAATCATACACTTTATGAAGGCCCCTTTATTGTCCACGGTGCAATAGTGTCAACGTCATTTTTGACCACAGGAGCTCAGCAATTATTGATATTGTTTTGTTTTCACGTAAAACATCATCAGCAAATAAAACAATGGAAATAAGCAATTAATTGTGAA